GAAACACTGTCTGACGCGTCTGCCTCCGCGACCCGAAAGGAGAAGCGGCGATGGAAGATGAAGATGAATTATAAAGCAATGCCGAACATTGAACTAGCCTAGATTTGTTACATTCCTTGACTACAAGCCTCCATTTGATTCACTGCATCGTCTAAGGACGTGGAAAATCTTGAAATGCTATCAGGCACCGTTATAGCGAATCGTTTCCACTTTGGAAGATAAGTATGCAAGAATCGTGTCTGCTGCTAAAATCTAAGGCTGTGGAGTCTACCAGGTAAATGTGCCTTGGTATTTGCGATTCAAAGTTGTTCTCCGTTTCTTTCTCTAGAACAGTGCTGATCCTGGCACGGCACAAGATCTCATTTTAAAGGGAAAGCTTATTTCAAGGTATTTGGCTAGATATTTTGCTTACCTGGAGGCACGTGATATTATTCTGGAAACGCACAACGGGGAGAGGAATTCGTCATCTGACGGCTACCGTATGCAACGCTGCTGCGAAAACTCGACTGCTGATTAACGTTCGAAAGCCAAAATTTATAGGGGACCATTCGTCACAGCTGATTTACGAGTGAAAGGTGAAGTGGGAGGTGAAGTCGCTCAGGAAGTTGATCAGTTTAAGTATCTAGGCTTTGTCATCTGAGAGATAGCACTATTCTATCAAAGTTAAGCAGGAAGATCGCCCTTGCCGAGAGTGTTGTTGGAAATGTGCGGAATATTTTCGCCATAACTTATTTCACAAAAGAATCTGACTGTACATTGTTTCTGTTGACTCAGTGTTGGTGCATAGCAGAACGACAGTTGAACTGTATGCAACGCGTAATGAGAGGTTAAGGAAACAAATAAATTATAAGGGAATGAACGAGTAAGTAGGCATGCTAGATGGTATCTAAAAATCTTAATAAACGTGCAGATACATTAATAAATAAATGATGATAAATCATAATGAATGATGCAAATGAGTAAGCAAGCAGACAGGAAAGTGCATAAATATGTATTTCAGTGAATTAGAAATGTTATGAACATTATTAAGTAAATGCGAAATGACACTAGCAAAAAAATACATGCAAATGGCAGACACGGTTCAACGTCTGATCAAAGCCTTCAGCTATATTCGCGGAGTCTCTGGAACCCAGAAACGCTGTGCTGTTTTCAACGTACAACAATCCATTTAGCCATCAGGTAAGTACGGGGAAAATTTCATCTTCAGTACATGACAGCGAAATTCAAATTATCCACGTCTGTAGCAACACGTTGGATTTAGGCGCGGCACAGTCCACTTGATCACTCTGGCATTGGCACTGCATGCAGCAGCCTTGGTTTCGACGCATGATGAGGGTTACATCGCAGGACCACGTAAGGAATGACTCTCTTCTTCGGGGTACAGGTCACCTAGGTAAATGTGAAGACTAAGAAAAAGAGATTAGTCCCGCTAAACAAACACCGTTTACTTCAGTACGTGAGCTTCTTATGTGCGAACCGAAACATGACAAGCATCAGCGGAAGGCGCCATTATGCATCATGAAGGAACGAAACGGAGGAAGGTGTTGGAGATAAATAATTACATCTGCGATGCAGTAATAGGTGGCTTACAGCAAAATATTGCAAAGCTGCAATTACAGCGGACATAACAAGTCACACATGTTCATATTATGCAAACAATCAACGTGATTATTTCAACGAACATACAAATAAACAAAATGTTAAGTGTAAGTGAAAAAATAATATTTAAAGAGAATACCACGAAACAACTATTGGAGACTGCGTAGAAGCGCGAGAGCAGTGGATGGAGGCATCGACTACGCTATACTTCCAATTCATAGGGTTTAATCAGTACTTAACAAGCGGATCCTGAGCATGGCGCAAAAGCCACCAAAGACTGATTTCGTCGCTACTGCACTGCTCCATTACTCCCGGGCGCATGTAAGGCATTTAAATAGGTCAACAGCAGTACTGCATTCGAGCTGGTCATAAAAAAGTTACAAGTCTATTGACGTACTGTAGCACATGAATCCAAATCTTTATATTTACGATAAATCTGCAATAAAAACGTAAAACGAACCAGATATCAAATAACGAGAAGGTCCAAAGCAACGCAGCATTTCGCTGCCTTTCAAGACATCCCCGAAATAACCGTACGCGACAGCGGTGCAAGCGAATTTGAAAAACCGGTCGCCACAGTGAATGGAACATAAGTCGACACCGCAGTTGTCGTTCAGAGCGATCTCCAGGATAGCCGTCAGCACGTCGTCCGTACCATGTACGGTACAAGCCAGAGCGTTCGTCGATCCTATATAATTAACGTGTAACAAATATGAGAATACGAAAGTCAAACAATTGCACAATGAAGGAAAAAGGTACGGGATACTCAAAATCCTCAAGACTAGTTCATTGTTCATTTTCAATCGCCTTATCCTCTTAGTTTCGTTTCTCTTGTTACCAATTATATTCGACATATAAGCGACTTAATGGTCGCAGATGCATGTTCCCTTTCTGCAAGAAAGTCCATTATAGAGTGATGACAACGATGCAGCCAAAACTCTATGGAGATTCTCGTTTTTCGTTCTTTGATACACATCCAGTATTATTCCACAATGAGAAAAACCATCACTGTGACAACAAATAATCTCAAGTTCACGTCTACTATGGCACAACAGCTACTAGAACCAACTACCTTACTGCGGCATTACCTCGCTTTCGATATAAGAGGGTGCAGTGACATCAGTGCGGATCAGCTAAGAAGATAGTTCTTGCTGTCATAATCGCCTAAGATATCAGGGTCAAGGAGAGAGTACCCAGATAAATGATGTCTGACGATGAGAGTCCATCTTTTCATCGGTTGGAAAATCAGTGATCACGTGGAGATGACGACATGCGATTGCATTAGCACAAATTTTTGTTCACCAGAATACAATGGTATATAACACGATCATCTGCAGTCCAACGTTACAATGCTACTTCTATTCCGCCGTTGTGTTGATTTGCATTGTTTCTGTATCACGTTGGTCAATCGGCGTCCAAATACAAGAACACGATCCACGTGCGATGCTATAATAGCTGACCAGTGCAATCCTTCAACTAAAAATGACATTTGGCACTTGTCATGTCTTCTATCAACAGGATGACACGGTAGCCGGAGCGGAACAATTTCCAACATCGTGAATGGCATGCGATAACTAAGTAAAATAGCAATAAAGCTTCTGTCTGTCATCGATACCTTCAGGCAAAATGTTCC